AATATACACGAATATTCAAAAAATAAAAAAAATAAGATATACGACATGTTCGAAAAAAATATATACGACATATCTAGTCAACAAAAAATTATATACGACATGTCAAAAAAAAAATTATTTGATACACAGAATTATTCGTCAAAAAAAAATTATATAACGACAAATCGGTCAAAAAAAATATTATACGACATGTTCAAAAAATAGAATAGACACATTGTCAAAAAATTATACACGACTGATTGTCAAAAAAAAATATTACACGACATAGTCAAAAAATTAAAATATATACGACATGTCAAAAAATATATACACGACATTATGCAAAAAAAAAAGTTATACACATGTCAAAAAAAAATAGTATACGACATGTCAAAAAATATACACGCACATGTCAAAAAATAAAAAAATCATACACGACATCCGGTCAAAAAAATATATATACGACATGTATCAATAAAATATATATGGGACATGGTCAAAAAATATTACACGACATGTCAAAGAAATACTATACAATGACATGACCGAGGTCAAAAAATATTACGACATAGTCAAAAAATTTATACACGACATGTCAAAAAAATATTACACATTGTCAAAAAATAAATAACAACGACATTGTCCAAAAAATATACACGACATGTCAAAAAAATATAACATGTCAAAAAAATAATATTATTATATACATGTCAAAAAAATAGTATACAGGTCTCAAAAAATATAGTACAGTCAAAAATTATTATGACGAATGCAAAAAAATGTATTGTACGCATATGTCAAAAATTATATACGACATGTCAAAAAGAAATAATACGATATGTATTGCATATAATGAGGCTGTGTTTAACGTTCTTGCAAAAAACCCAGAGCGTAAACTATCAAGGCCATTACCCCCCCCCCCCCCTCCCCTCCCACCTACTACCCTCGTGCCCTTCCCTCTGTATACATCCGTGCCAGCCCTCCCCCCATCCCCCTCCCGTCCCCCCTCCCTACCATTTATAGCCATCGCAAACAAGAAGCGAAAAGGCAAAGAAACCCCAAGAATATTAATCAAACGCGGAGAACCGGGTAAAAAAGGAATGGAAGGAGAGGAAGAGAGAGAGCAGACCGAGCAAGAGAGAGAGGAGGGAGGAGAGAGGGACGCGACGAGAGGGAAGGAAACGAGAAGGAGAGAGAGAATTGATGCGAGAAGTACCACACACAAGCGCAGCGACTGAGGACGAAAGAAAATAGAGAGAGAAGAAGGAAGAGAGATTGAGAGGAGAGGATGACGAGAGAGCACGTTGAGAAGGAAGAGAGGGGATAAGAATAAAAATATCAAGGTTGTCTTGGCTTGATTGGATGGTCGCCCAGCAGGTAGTCCTGAGCCGCGGAGGTGTTGTAATCAACAAAAAAAGGAGAAGAAAAGAAATAAATTTAGAAAGAAAAAAAAGATGGTGAAACCAAGAACTGAAAGACGGACAAAAAAAAAACGCGACAGTCGATTCCATAGACCGCTTTATGCGCCCTTGGTGCTTGTTCGCATCTTACAAAATTCTTGGTTTAATTCTTTGGGCGTCTCTCCTCTCTTCTCCCCTCGTTCCTTTTTTCTCTATTGATGGCTCTGTTGCTGTTCCGTCCTGCCAATTCTTTCTTTCCGTCTTTGTACGTCTCGTTTTCCTTCGATTTGTTTCTTTGCCCCTCATACTGTTTTTTCTCTCTTGACTGTCTCTCCCCTCTTCTACTCCTCTCTCCCTTCTCTCCTCTCTGTCTACTGTGCGTCCTCTGTTCTTTTCCCCGCCGGCCTCTCACCTCTCTCTCTCGCTTTCTCTTCTCTCCCTCTCCCTCTCCCTCCCTCCCCCCTCTCCCTTCCCCTCTCCCCATCCCTCCATCCATCCCTCCTCTCGTGCCCCCAACCTACATTTCTTCCTTTCGTTCTCATTTTTCATATTTCACCCCCCTCCCTCCCTACCTAAACCCCTCCACACTGCGCACCCACCACCCACAACCTAAAAAAAAAAAAAAATTAAAAAAGGAAAGACAGAAGAAGAAAAAAAATCTTTAAAAGGTGCAGCGATGGCCAACCATAATGATTCGGGGAATATTGATAAAAAACAGGAGAAAAAAAACTGGTTTGTATTCTCCAATGAGTACAGGTTCGCTCAGCTGGGTCTGCGTGTGTTTCACCTTGGGCGTTGTGTACGGGGGAGAAACGAAGGAAGTTTAGCGGGAAGGAGTTTGTACGAAGCGAAGACGGGGAATGATAAGATGATGATATCGACTCTAGTGGAAATGAGGTAATAATGAGATGTTAATGAGAATTATCAGAAATAACAAAAGCAACAGCCTCAAATACATCGGTGATTATGAAGAAAACAGTTTTATAATATTGATAATATAACAAAATAATATAAGAAAAGAAAGATAATATAACATCAAAAGATAGCATCAAAACCAACGAGGGAGAAACTTTAAAAAAAAAGGTGACGGCTGATTTGACCCTGATTCGTATTTTTGTAAA